TTCTTAACAGCACGTGGCTGCTTTTGGCGCCCTTTTTTTGTTCAGTTTTGTTGCTGACAAATTTATTCATCTGAAAGAGTTGAGAGCTGAAAGCAGAGATTGATCGGGTATCAAAAGTATCGAGTTTCGATACTTTGTTGCGCCCACACCGGAAGTGGAACCTCCATTTGCGGGGCTTCGCAGGAAGGGAAACCCGTCGCAAATCTGCATGCAAAGCCATGTAACTTGCAACATTATTGGCAACATGATCGGATGGCAGGATCGGCGGCAGGGGGCGGTCGTCTGTCAGATTGGCAGCTATATTGAGCCAGGCCCAAAGACGGTTATAATTGGCCCAAGGCAGCAACAATTTATCAACGCCGATTGCCATTTGTGTTGACAACTAACATAGTGGACACTCGCCGCCGGACAGTGAGTGGATCAGGAAAGGAATGGGTACTCCCGTCTCCAGTCTCTCAGTGGGTCTCTGGTCTCCGGTATTCGGTCCCCAAGATCTAAAGTTGGCATGAAGCGTGTTGATTTCGCACTTTACAGCTTGTTAAACCAGCAAAAGGCAGCCAAACAGCGAACAGCAGCAGCAGCAGCACCACCGCATCAGCACTATGAAATTATTTATTTAATAATCGACAGCGAGTCATGAAAATGGTCAGCAATTGTCGTTAGTTGCAGCCGCTAATTGTGCACGAAAAGCTACAGTAACTGCACGCGAAGAAAATGTGTGTTAAATGGGAAGAGTTTGCAGAAAAATTACTATAACTAAAGTAGGGGGGTAAGGAAGAATTTATCAATTAATAAAGAAAGTATCTAATTTGTAGAGTTTTGCTATGAATCTATTTATAACAAGTAAGGTAAATAACATTGGTATGTCGAGATATACGCAATGGAATCAGAAATGGATCTTAACTTAGCTTAAAAAATTTAGCAAACTTTGAATCAATATTTATCAATATCTTTATCCCTTATGAAAATTTCAAATTTTAACAAAATTCGGAAAATTGTATATTTCTTTTATACATGCCAAATAAGATTCTCCTATTTATCCTGATCAAGAATAAATATGATTTATAGGGTCGGAAATGATTCCTTCCCTGAGATTTAGTCTTCTGAATGAAATTATAATACCCTGCAAATATACATATTTTTCGTACATTAAACTTAATCACGAAGACAATTTGGCTTACAAAATCGTAACCATTACTTGTGGTTAATTAAATCAAACATTATTTTGTGTGTAGCAACGGTGGCAGTTGGGTTGCTGCAGCATCACACAGAATTTATTACGTTTCAATTATGTATATGGGCAAATGTTGGCACAGCCAATTGGCAACGCATAAATCTCTAAGGAGTTGCTGCTCCCTACCTCTCCATCTCACCTTTCTCGCTCCCACTAACAACTTGGCCAAGCTGTCAAATTAGCACGCCAGCAAGTTGGCCATTAGCAGCGTCCACTGTTTGCCTTGGCAGCTCTGATCTGGCTAATCAGCTTCCTACTCCTTAAGCGGTGGCTGCCGCTGCATCGCAACATGCAGCAAGCGCAGTGTCTTGGCAACATTTTGTGGGATATGGCAACACTGATTTATATGCCAAGGGGTCTAATCAGTTCTTATCAGTTTCTCGCTTTTCCACTTACCATGGAGTAGAAATTACCAGCAACCCCCTTGCGGGCAAACAACTTTGTCTTGGATATTGACAGCAAAACATTCTGGGCCTAGAACTAACTCACTTTCCAATTGGTTTTCCTGGGACTCTAAATTAAGATGAACAAATGGAGGGTTGCTTTACTCCAGGCTTTGATGCTGCGTAATTCATATTCTGGAGGCAGTAGGCAACTTAAGCTGCCCCACAGGCACAACATGCAGCGTGTGTGGTCCTCTCCAGGCTGCCTTGCTCCTGGGATGCTGCAGTTGTTGCTGCAACTGCTGCAGTTGCAACTTTTGTCGTTGTCCGTGCATAAATCGTGTGAAATATCGCATTTCGCGCATTTTCGCTTCGTGTTAACGAGTGTCACATACGCACACATGAAAACAATCGCCAGCAACAAGCATTTATTTGTCTTTTCTAGAGGAGAACCGCGAGGAGAATGTTGTCTCTTGTCTGTTGCTGCTGCAGTTGTCCGTTGCAGTTGCTATTGCTGTGTGTTGCTACTTGGCCAAGTTGCCTGTTGTCGCTGGGTTTGCCCTGGGCATTTGCATATTGACAGCGCTGTGTGATAATGCTGTTGACATTGATATAGCTTCAAAAGTCTGGCCAGAAGACTATGGAAACTGTGGCTGTGTTGTTGCTGTTGCTCTTGCTGCTGATGCTGCTGCTGACTGTGGCTTGTTGCTTGTTACTAGTTGCTGGTGGCTGCTGGCTGCAACGCCCACCAAACAATTGACAGTCAACAACATGCCGGCATAAGGCAGGACGGAAAAAGGAAAAAAAATTACAGAAATAATGCTAAAAAGAGCGCTGAATCTGATAAAGTTGCGGCTGTTGCGCATGCGCATGTTGCACGCCTACAAAATCATGTTGCACGTCAGTCGAGCGAGCTTTTTACCCTCAAAAATATCTGTGTGAGTGTGTGTGGTGTGTGTGTGTTCTGCTTTAGCGGCTCATTTAAATTCTGCAATGATTTTTGCCAAGTACTTTAGCATATTGCATCTCAAGGCCGCCTTTTCCATTCCCCCTGTGTGTGTGTGGCCATCGCTTTTGGGCTTTGGTTGGGGGTTTTTGCGCTGACAGACGGCAGCCAAGAAGGCGGGCTATGCCCAGATCGGATTTCTAGAAGTACACACTAAGAAAATAATCTAAAATGTATTTTATATAAGTGTTTGTTAACGAAGACTATTGATAGATTTAGTTGTTAGTTGTTAGTTTTTGATCATCAGTGACTTTTGTGACCTTAGAATCATTAATTTTGTAATAAATTTAATTAAAATATATCACAAAACACCCAATTTTCTCACCGTGCTTTGCAGGGCGGCAATTGATTCTTAAAAAACGCTGACAACTTACATGTTGCAGCAACATGTTGCCGCGTTGACAAATCGGCTGCATGTATGTACTATGTAGATGCAGGCGGATGCAAGCGGAAATTGGAAATTACGGCTAAAATGTTCTGGCCAACAGGGAAAAAAGCGAGAGAGAGAGAGAAAAAACGAGAGCAAACGCCCACCAAAAATAGGGGCTTGCAGGTAATCCCCTCTTTCGGGAGAGCAACTAATAATCGCATAATACACGTACCAGGCTAATGATTAACCTGCATCATTATCGCTCCAAGATCTCCAAGATGTTCCCTTTCCTCACCCGATTTTTTTTGTTCTTGTGCCCATCGAAAATTAGCTGCCGTATCTGCAGAAGCTCTTCCGAACCGGAGCCGGAGCTGGAGCTGGAGCCAAAGTTTGGGCTGGGTTCGGGGGGCAGGACAACAAAGCATCCTGCACTTTTACTCGCCCCATTCAAGATGAAGGAGGAGGATGATGGCCCCAAGGCAAGACCTGCAATCTGGCTTTATTTTATGCGCGGAGCGCGCTTAAAAATGCAGTCAACGTCTCCTTGGATGGGGCAGACAGGAACCTGCCGCTTAGGCGAATGCCTCACGGGCCCCAAAAAGGCAAACGGCCCGACAACAGCAACATCTACAGCGGCAGCAGCAGCACAGCAGCAACATCTACAGCGGCAGCAACAAATGGCATTAAAAAACAGGGAGAAAAAAAACCATCACTGGAGAAAATTCACTGCATCCTCCCACTTTTTGCTCGGTACGCGAATGTTGCCTCTAGATGGGCCTATTATGTTGCTGCCACTGCTGCTGCTCCCGATGTTCCTGCTTGTTGTTCGCCAATCATTAAATGCGTTTTTCATACACTCGATTTCGGTTTTGGAGTTTTGCTCTTTTTTTATTATATTTTTTTATGCGGGAGTTGCTGCTGCCGCCGCTGCGCTGGGATTTTTGATTTATGAAGCAGCAAATGAGTTTGCGAAAAGGAGAGCACGAGGAGCTGGGCATCGAGAATGTATATCAAGTAAGTATACACCCACACTTCCGGCTCTAAATTGAATTGAGGGCGTGGCCAGAGAGCACCTTTTTTTGTTGTGCTGGAAATGGAATGTTGCCTGCGGCCAAGGCACACATAATTATGCGCATGTTGCAAGTTGCTACGACTGTGGCTACATCAAAGTGCCAGCAGCAGGCAGCTCCAGCGACGACGACGACGACGACAAATCGTTGAAAGTTACAGTTTAAGTTGCTGCTGCAGTGATTGGCAGCAGCAGCAGTTGTTGCTGCGAGCAGCGGATAATCAGAATTCCAGCATTTTCACCTGTTGCCCGGACTTGTGCAGCTTGACATGTGCCGCACATGCCGCACTGCCATTTGTCTGCACTTTAATGATGCGCCACATCTAACTGCAACAGCAACAGCAGCAACAGCAACAGCAGCAGCAACAGCAACAGCAAAAGCAACAGCAACAGCAACAGCAACAGCAACAGCAACAGCAACAACAGCAGCAACAGCAACAGCAGAATTGCTAGTAGCAACTTTCAGTATTCACTAGCTGCACACGGAAAAAATCTAGAAATTATGCAAGATTAAGGCATTAATTCAAAATTAAGAGAAGAATAATTGATACTAAATTGCATTATTAATCATAATGCAAGCACTCTAAAAATTATTATCAAGTTAAAATTAAGCTTCAGGAAAAAAATCACTGAGCATTTAAAATTCTTCAACCTAACTAAAGATTTTAATTAAATTTCTAAGTTATGTCTAAAGACATGTACCTAAACATATTTGATTTGATTTCTTTCAGTGTAATCTCCTGCTGATCCATTCTGCCTGCCTGGCTGCCGAGCACTCTATGCACATAATTTATCATTGCAATTAAAATGAAGCAAAATGTGCTTTTTAGTATTATTTAAATTGTGTGAGGAAAGGCATTCAAGGTTAGGAATTAAAATTTGTTTTCCAATTAGGTATAAGTACGAGTAGGAATTAGAAATAGAAACAGAACCGATCCGCAGTCAGTATGCCACCCAACGGCGACGATGTCACAGGAGTGCTTTTCGAGACGGATGGCCAGACGGGAGACCTGGGTCTGGCCAAGGATCTGACCAAGCTGAAGACAACTGATGGCAGGAAACTAGAGTTGGTGTGGCTCAACATCATCCTGTTTGTGATCGCACACACACTCTCCGCGTACGGTCTGTGGTTGCTGCTTGTGGAGTCCACTTGGACCACTTTCTTCATTTTCCCTGCGACCTTTGTACTTTCGGTTGTGGGAATTTCCGGAGGCGCCCATCGTCTGTTCGCGCATCGCACCTTCAAGGTCAACAAGAAGTTGAAGCTGATATTTCTGTTTCTGAACACGCTGGCCTTCCAGGATGCGGTGTACTATTGGGCAAGGGACCATCGGTTGCACCACAAGTACACGGAGACGGATGCGGATCCGTACAACTCGGAGCGCGGCTGGTGGTTCGCTCACATCGGTTGGCTGTGCTGTCGCAAACACCCGGAGGTGACGGAAAAGGGTCGCCAGATCGATCTATCCGACCTGAAGAGTGATCCGATGGTGATGTTCCAAAAGAAGTACTATCTCATATTGATGCCGCTCATCTGCTTCGTGATGCCCACTGTGCTGCCAATGTGGCTGTGGGGCGAGACTTTCAGGACCTCCTTCTGCGTGATGAGCCTGCTCCGGTGGGTCCTTTGCCTGAATATCGTCTGGTTGCTGAATAGCTCCGCTCACATGTTCGGAACACGGTTCTACGATAGGAACATCAATCCCACGAATGAGTCATTGCTCATTTGGTTCAACTTGGGCGAAGCGTATCACAATTACCATCATGTCTTTCCCTGGGACTACAAGAGTGCGGAGGTGGGTCATTTCGCCAATGACTTCACCACCAAGTTTATCGAGTTCTTTGCAAAAATTGGCTGGGCCTACGATCTCAAGAGTGTGCCCATAGACCTTGTCAAGCGAAGAGCACTGCGCACTGGAGATGGAACCCATCCCATTTGGGGCTGGGGAGACAAGGATCAAACGAAACAGGACATTCTCGAAACTGAAATCAATCACCAGCAAAAGGATAATAATTAGAAAGTAATTTAAGTTGTATTGAACCAAATATTATAGTTTATTTATCTGTGCACATTTCATGTATGAGGTATATATTTTTTTATACAAATAAATACATTAAGTGGGACTTGAACCTATTATGTACAACAAGTTTTCTTCAAAGGAGGTTTGATTATACTTCCGCCTGGCTGATTACCATCCTTTATTTGCTAAATGTAAAAAAAAACGTCAGGAATACATTAAATTTGGTTGGGTTGGGTTCCAATTCCACTTTGTTAACAATTAGAAAGTCGATAATAATGCGCATATGTACTTATCGATACGTAAATCCAACTCGTTGCTTTATATTCAAAACTACAAACCTACACTGTAAACAGTGCAAAACATTCCAAGCAATAATGGAATCCAAACAAAGAATTATTTTGAATTATTTGACTTGTGTAGCCCCTTTAGAATTGATTTTACTTCCTGTTCAGGCCCTACACAATGATACTTGAAGTCCAATAGGTTTGAGCTTTGCGCAGAATTTGTGGAATATCTATACTAAGAAGTCGGTGCCATAAATCGGTGCGGGGGCACTTGAAAAATGCCAGTTCAGGCCACACTAATTAGTTTGCCCAAAAGCCACCGCCGGCTATTGCATAATTTAGGTAGCCAGCTCCAGCTCCTGGACCAAAGAACGCCCACACAACACAAGGAGAGCTTGATTTCCTGGAAAAGAGTTGCCGCTTAGGGCCATGCTAATACCTCCACCCTTCCTGGAAGCTGACCAGATCCCAGAGATCATGGTAGCAGCAGCAGCCGTTACCCGAGGGATCTCTGATCCACATTTGCATAATTGCAGACCAAAGTCGGCGCTGACTTCCCCTCCGAACAAAAACAAAAACAAAAAAAAAAAGGAAAACGAACAAAAAGAATACAGAAATTATTCCCTTCCGAGTGATTTAAGTTTCCTGAAATGGAGCGAACCAAGAGGAAGTTGGGCGGCCATCGTCGCTTTGACCATGAGCTGCCCCTCCATCAGAGGCTACTGGGCGGAATTCAGAGGAGTTTCGGGTGAGTCAGTCCAGTGCCCAGGAAAAGACAGGGATTTTCTACTTAAGAATACATATCTTCTAGAACAACGATGGCTCTTCAGGTTCAGATGCAACCCAACGATGAGAAAAGTCACTTAACGTAAGCTATATATGATTTTATTCCTCTTCTATAAATCATATATAAGATTTCAGGAACGTGGAGGCTTTCATTAATGTCCTGAAATGTGCTTTAGGCACTGGCTGTTTGGCCATGCCGCGAACCTTTCTGTATGCCGGCTGGTTGACTGGACTCATTATGACGATAGTCCTTTGCTCCTTTGTGGTATATGCCATGCATATTCTGGTAAATAATATATATTTCTATTAAGATCTCCCCCTGAAATGAATCTATTTAGTTAAATGACATAAATGAAATGGAAAGACGCTTTGGTGTGCCTCTGCTTTCTTATGGAAAGAGCATGGAAGTAGCTGTGGCAATTGGACCCAGAAGGTTTCAGTTTCTGGCCAAGCCAATGCAGTAAGTTGGGTTTAGTTGTAATAAAGAATATCTATATATCTTTCTCAGTTATTTAGTGGACATTCTGCTGTCCTTGGATCACTTTGGTGTGGACTGTATCTATGTGGTTTTCATAGCCAAGATTTTAAAGGCTTTGGGTGATATATACTTTTGGCCATTCGATGAGAGGATCTATATGGCTCTGCTCCTGCCGCCCTTGACCATTACCTTTGCGACACGCAAATTCAAACATTTAGTACCATTATCCTTTATATCCAACTTAATGTTAGCTATTGGTGGGTTATGAACAACTAATTTCCTTTTTCAGATGCCTTAAATATTTTTGTCTAACAGGCTTCCTCATCAGTTTAAGCTACATGATTCGGGATCTGCCCGAGTTCCGTGAACTTAGTCCAACTCAATCATTGAAGAATCTATCCCTAGTCTTTGGAACCCTTCTTTTTTCCATAGAATCGGTGGGAGTGGTGAGTTTAGAAGGGGATTTTTGTCTGATTATCGATTTATCGAGCTTCTATACCTCCAAGGTCTTGGTACTTCGTCGTAAAATGCGTACACCGGCGGACTTGGTGGGAACGTGTGGAGTCCTTAATCGTGGCATGTTTGTAATAATAGTCTTCTATGCAGTATTTGGACTCCTTGGCTATTGGCATTACGGCCAGGATACGGCAAGCTCCGTTCTACACAATCTGCCAATCGATGAAATGTAAGTGATCGTACAGAAAATAATCCTAATGTTTATATTATTATATATTTTATCCTTCAGACCTACCCAGATAGTGGCTGGATTATTTGCCTTGGGAATCTTCTTTAGCTACGCCCTACAGGGTTTCGTGACCGTGGACATCATCTGGCGTGACTATATGGAACCGAAGATGGAGGCAGACTCATTTTCATCCAAATTTGTGGAGTACCTGGTGCGGATGGCCTTGGCAATTGCCTCTGTGCTGGTGGCCATGCGATATCCGGATTTTTGGATGCTACTCTCCTTCGTGGGCTCCTTTTGCCAGGCCCAACTGAGTTTTATCATTCCGGGCATCCTGAATCTTTGTGTACGATATGAGGAAGGCTATGGACCTGGAAGGATCCTATTCTGGCGATCGATGATATTTATTGGCGGTGGCCTGATTGGAGGTATAACCGGTACATTGGCTACCATGGGTAATCTTGATGATGAATATCCCATTATTAGGTGATACTATTTATTATTATTTATATATTTGTTTTAAGTTATTCATTTTACTATTAAAGTTTTGCTCGTTTAACTTCCAACCAATGCTTTTAGTGTCATATGCATAATCATGGTCATTTGTAAAAAGTTTTTGGCTACAATTTAGGTACAAAATAAGCTCTCTTCAAATTTCTATGGTATGGCCGAAACAGAGTAAGAAGGAATTCCCAATTGTTGAAAATCATTTTCAAAGCTTATCTTTCTACAGGGTTTACAATCCATACAATAATCGAAATGTTGCTTCCCCATTATCGTAAGTCTTTGGCTTAAATCTTTAATTCTTTTGTAGAAATTTAGTATTCTTTTAGGAATGTTGGTGCCTTTGTGACCTTAATGAGTTGTGTGGTTGGCGTGGGATTCCTGGCTTTACCCTTGGGTTTTTTCTTTGCTGGAATCCTCAATGGCATCTTCATACTCATAGTGGTCACAGTCCTTCTCGTCTATGGCATGCACTTGCTGGTAAGTTCGTTTTTGGGGATTCAAAATCTAAGATATTTAATACTGTTTTCTGCTCAGATACATAGTATGTTGGAGTGCTCTCGTCGTATGAAAGTTGGCTATGCCACCTATAAGGAATCTGTGATATATTCCTTTAAGCAGGGACCTGTATGCTTCAGGTGCTGGGCCAAGGCTGGAGGTTACTTTGTTGACTTGGTTTTATGCTGTTCCCACTATGGCATGTGTGTGGTGTATATTGTCTTTGTGGCCGTTGGTTACAAATTCATCATAGATCAGTATACCAAGGCTTTAGATCTACGCATCTATGTGGGGATTGTGGGACTCCTTAGCATCCCATTGTTTATGATCCGGAAACTCGGCAACTTGGTCTCCATCAATATGATATCCAATGCCTTGGCTTACTTTGGTTTCATCTTCATGTTCTATTTCCTGTTTATAGGACTGCCTCCGATTACCGAGCGCCGTCACATATTCGGTGATGTAAATAAGATGGCCCTCTTCCTTGGCATTGCTCTGTTCTCCATCAGCTCAGTGGGTGTGGTAAGTTTGATGATCGAGATCATAGAATTGGAGATTGTGGCACCATTTACAGATCCTGGCCATTGAGGCGATGATGGAAACGCCACAGGACTATATGGGTTGTTGTGGTATGCTCAACATGTCCATCGCCGTTATCCTGATCTCGTATGCAATCTTTGGAGTCTTTGGCTACTGGCGTTTTGGGGACAAAATAGCTGGGTGTATTTCCTTAAATCTGCCCGCCAATCAAGCGTGAGTTTTGCAAATGAATCTCAATATTTTTTTAGTTATTAAATGTATATATTTCAGAGTTGCGACTGTCTCTAGTGTCTTGATTGTCACTTCCATCTTCTTGACGTATCCGGTATCCGGATATGTGGTTATCGACAACATAATGAATAACTATTTAAACAAGAATGGAAAACTGGAGCGCCCGAAACGCAAGGAGATCATCGTCCGCTTAGTGTTTGTTCTGATGACCACTGGGAATGCCTTGCTACCCCTTAATTTGATTCCCCTGCTTTCGTTGATTGGAGCCTTCTCCATTTCCTTGCTGAACCTCATCTTTCCGGCCCTCATTGAAATCTGCCTGTACTATCCGCCGGAATATAGGATAGGCAGAAAAAAGTGGAAGCTATGGAAGAACCTTTTTCTCATCAGTATTGGCATCTTTGTATTAATAATCGGCACCTACTTTGCCATAATGGAAATGCTTGAGACTTGGGGCAGGAGCAACGTTGGATCATACAATCGAAAATGACATTACCTTGGAAAGAACTGGGAATCCCTGCTAATCTGCACTCCTCATTAAGTAATGAAAGATAAATTTATATGTGTAATGACAATTTTGGTATAGATTTTACACCTTGAAATATTGTTGGATAATGACATTTGAAAGCTTAGTGTAGAAAAGGATATTTGATATATGAGTTTATAATGACAAACAATTACTAATACTGCAAATGCATAACTAAATTTGGAAATAATTAAAGGAGTGAAAAAATAATTATTTTTTGACCGATTTTTGGGTGATTGATATATTTGAAAGTCTTTTTAGATTTATATCGCAGTGGATTATCTCCTGTAACCATATCCTGCAACACCCAAAAAATGGCTAATTGGTCACTAAGTATATATATCTTATATACTCTCTCTCTTAATATATATAATCTTTTACAAAAATTTTGGGTTAATGTGCAAATTAATTAATCTTAATTCTTTGATATTTATGTCATGTGAGGAATATATTAATAAACAAACAATCCATGAAAACACAAAAAAGGGAAATTCTAAATTAAATGGCCGATAAAATGTAAGAAGAAGTCCATCAGAGTCTGAATTGTATAATAAGCATATCTTTCACAGAGTAGATTATAATCCGTACGAACACCGAGATGTTGACAATCCACTAACGTGAGTCTAAAGATTATTTAGCTTAACTTATGTACTTATAATCCCCATTACTTAAGGAAATGTGGAGCCTTTGTGTCGCTGTTAAAGTGTATAGTTGGAACGGGAGTCCTGGCCCTCCCCTTGGCATTTCACTACGCGGGAATCGTGACGGCCATTATATTGCTCCTCCTGTGTACCTTCATGCTCATTCATGGGATGCAGTTGCTGGTAAATAACTCAAAATATATTATTAAAACCTCGATAATACAATTTTTTCACAGATATATAGCATGGTGGAGTGTTCGCGCCGGATGCAAATCGGTTATGCCAGCTTTCCGGAGGCAATGGCCTTCTCCTTTGCCCAGGGACCCGCGTGCTTCAGGTGCAGTGCCAAGGCGGGAGGATATCTCGTGGATGGAGTCCTGGCCTTCTCCCACTACGGCGTCTGTGTGGTCTACCTTGTTTTTGTGGCCTCTACTTTCAAGCAGATCATCGACTACTATTGGCAGGTATTCGATATCCGCATCTATGTGGCTGTCGTGGGAATCTTCACCATCCCGATCTTCCTGATTCGGTCGCTCAAGTGGCTGGTGCCCTTCAACCTGGTGGCCACCGTGCTCATCTACTCCGGCTTCGTCATGATGTTCTACTATCTGTTCACAGGACTACCGTCGCTGTCCGACCGCGACATCCTTATTGGGGATATAGGGAACATGGGCCTCTTCTTTGGCATCGCCCTGTTTGCCGTCAGTTCGGTGGGAGTGGTAAGTCTGCCAGATGATCTCGAGAGCTATGGAAGTCCTTGATATTAGATAACATTACTCTACACTCACAGATGCTGGCCATCGAGGCGAAGATGGCCAAGCCCGAGGCCTATCTCGGTTGGTTCGGTGTCCTTGACTTGGCCATATTTGTGGTGCTGATCTCGTACATATTGTTTGGATTCTTTGGCTACTGGCGTTATGGCGACCAATTGTCCGGCAGTATTTCCCTTAACCTGCCCACCAAAGAAATGTGCGTTTAGATGTATTCCAAAATACTTTATATAAAAATACTTTTACTTATAGTCCTTCACAGGTTGCCAAGATCCTTATTGCCGTGGCCATCTACCTGACGTACCCGTTGGCCGGATATGTGGTCATCGACATCATTATGACCCATTACTGGAACAAAAACGGCGATCTGAAGCATGCAAAGCTCAAGGAGACCCTCCTCCGCATATTGTTTGTAATCCTGACCACCTTGAATGGGGTGTTGGCTCCTAATCTTGGTCCATTGCTCTCTCTGGTTGGTGCCTTGACCATCTCTTTGCTGAACCTCATCTTCCCGGCCCTCATTGAAATCTGCCTGTACTATCCGCCGGAATATAGCTACGGCAAGCTCAAGTGGAAGCTGTGGAAGGACATTTTTCTCATCATTGTGGGAACTATCATACTGATCGAGGGCACCTATTTCGCCATTGTGGATATAGTCAAAGAATATGGAAATGTTAAAGCAATTTAGACCTTTTACCAAAATTAGTATAATAATGAATATTTGATTTATATTATTTACTTTTGACAAAAAACTTATAGAATTAGAATAAATGAATATACAATTTAAGCCTAAACGCTTGAAAGGAGAAATAATTATGACAGCTTTTACTACTCAACTACTTAACTAAATTTGGAAATAATAAACGTACAGATTCTTTTTCTTAAGCTTTACTTTTTCTTAATTCTTTGCTATTTATGTCATGTTATTATATACTTTTGAATATTCAAAAAACAATACATACTATATGGCAAACACTGGGTAAGACGAAATTCGCCATAGTCAGAATAAGTACAGTAAGCATATCTTTCACAGAGTAGATTATAATCCGTACGAACACCGAAATGTTGAAAATCCAATAACGTAAGGCTTTGTAATTTTCTAACTTTTCTTGAGCTTATAATTCCGTTTTCTTTAAGGAAATGTGGTGCCTTTGTGACGCTATTCAATTGTGTGGTTGGAACAGGAGTCCTGGCCCTTCCCTTGGCATTTCACTATGCGGGAATCATGATGGCCATTATCCTGCTCCTGGTTTGCACCTTCTTGCTAATTCATGGCATGCAGTTGCTGGTAAACTCATATGTAGAACTCATATCATATGGCTAACTCCTCGGTTATCCTTATTTCTTTACAGGTATATAGCATGGTGGAGTGTTCGCGCCGGATGCAAATCGGTTATGCCAGCTTTCCGGAGGCAATGGCCTTCTCCTTTGCCCAGGGACCCGCGTGCTTCAGGTGTAGTGCCAAGGCGGGAGGATATCTCGTGGATGGAGTCCTGGCCTTCTCCCACTACGGCGTCTGTGTGGTCTACATAGTTTTTGTGGCCTCTACTTTCAAGCAGATCATAGACTACTATTGGCAGGTATTCGATATCCGCATCTACGTGGCACTCGTGGGACTATTCACCCTCCCGATCTTCCTGATTCGGTCGCTCAAGTACCTGGTACCTCTCAACTTGATGGCCACCGTGCTCATCTATTCTTTGTGATGTTCTACTATCTGTTCACAGGACTTCCGTCGCTGTCCGAGCGCGACATTATAGTCGGAAAAATCGGGAAGCTGGGCCTCTTCTTCGGCATCGCCCTGTTCGCCGTCAGTTCGGTGGGAGTGGTAAGATCTGTAAGGCTATGGATATCCTTAAAGTAATAACTCTGCACTCACAGATGCTAGCGGTTGAGGCCAAGATGGCCAAACCCAAGGCCTATCTCGGTTGGTTCGGTATCCTTGACTTGGCCATATTTGTGGTGCTGATCTCGTACATATTGTTTGGATTCTTTGGCTACTGGCGTTATGGGGATCAATTGTACGGCAGTATTTCCCTAAACCTGCCAACGAATGAAGTGTGCGTTTCCCACAATATATCCCAGATATATCTACAATCTAAGGCACTTAATACTTTTACATTTTAGTCCCTCGCAAATTGCAAAGATCCTTATTGCTGTGGACATCTACCTGACGTACCCGTTGGCCGGATATGTGGTCATCGACATCATAATGACCCATTACTGGAACAAAAACGGTGACCTGAAGCATGCAAAGCTCAAGGAGATCCTCCTCCGCATATTGTTTGTAATCCTGACCACCTTGAATGGAGTGTTGGCCCCTCACTTGGGTGCACTTCTCTCTCTGGTTGGTGCCTTGACCATCTCTTTGCTGAACCTCATCTTCCCGGCCCTCATTGAAATCTGCCTGTACTATCCGCCGGAATATAGCTACGGCAAACTAAAGTGGAAGCTGTGGAAGGACATCTTTCTCATCATTGTGGGCACTATCATACTGATCGAGGGCACCACTTTCGCATCGATGGCTATGATCACCGAATATGGATATACCGATACCGGCGAGTTTAATCGCATGGTTTACCAAAATTATTGCTTAGACATTAGCGCAAACTGCAGTAACATGACTGAATACTAAATTCTAGTCTTTTAGAAATTTTCCAATTGTAAGAAATCCATTTGTAAATGTAGATACATATATAAATATCTTTTATGTATATAACGATCTCTTATTAAAGACTTGAATATCACGAAATGTATACACTTTACAGTATTTCCAACTACCTGAACCATTGAGCTACATAATATAAACATTTCACCTACATCACAGCAAGGTTTGGAATACCATATTTAAGTTATTTTATAGACACACAATTTTATCCTTAAGTTCCACTTATTTAAGACGGTATAATGTATAAATTAAAGACCCAATCCTATAGGAGTTTGGAGCTTCCTTCGAACTGAGTCGGCGTTATTCCCAGAGGTCAACCTCTTGCCGCCCACTGATTTAACCTCTTGACTTGACCCCAGCCAGAGGGACTCATCGAGGGTCATTATCAATGGCGTTGGCATTGGCATGGCGGAGTAATTCCCTCATTAGCTGTCAGGCGGTGGGAGTGGTGGTGAATGGACAAGAGGCATGCGGCATTCGGCATTCGGCATGTGGCATGTGGCATGCGGCAGCATGCTGCAACCTGCAACCTGCAGCAGCAACCTGCAACCTGTTTCAGCACACGTCTCTCTCGACTCCATCAGCTCCACTTAACGATGTGCTCCGGAATTTATGCCGATATGGTAATGCATCTACGCTGCTTCTCCCAGAGTCCGTCTCCAACTTCAACTCCAACTCCATCTCCGCCTCGAACTGGGACTGGGAGTTGGAGTCTGGATCTCGGATCGAACCGGCGGCGGGACTGCCTCATTATGCCATTGATGGACTGCAGTTGGAGCATTTGGATTGCGTAATTTATTGTTTTGGGTCTTTTGGCCCCGATAAACTGGTGTTGGCCACTCGATTCCCGGTTTGGCCAAAAACGGGCAATGGGTCCATCGCCCGACATCTGTTTGCAATCCATTTGTCCAGTTGTCCGGCCTGTCCGGCCTGTCATTTGTGTGGCATTTTTTGCCAACGCCTGCCGGCGCAGCAATCTCACTTTCCGCCGAGGGATTTCCATGGGAGATCCCATTTAAGGCTCTAATTAGCTACGCAGTCAGCATGCAAAGCGATGGCCATCTAATGGTTTTCCACAGAAACTACCAAGCCACACGTGCATTGAACACATCTCCACCTTCTCCCATTTCCCCAGTGCTTCCTAGAGACCATTCCATTATTCTTATTCCTTTCGGTTTGGAACTCTGGAATAGCCCATCCAATCCCTCCCAGTGCGGGAGGTCAGGAGGTTAAGCAGCGGCTGGAATAGAAACTGAAGAGTTCTGCGTAGACTGTGATTGCAGCCAGAGTGCAACAAATCATTTCCCATAGCCAGTGAAGACACTGGAAAATATAATTGTATTTTGTATTAAATATTCATCTATTAAATATATTTTCAAGGGGTTTAGATGAGGTCTGATTAGGGGGAATAGCAAAAGGACACTTGCAGATACTCTCTGTCTAAAAAATAGCTCTGGTAATATTCCTTAAAATAAGACAACTCCTTGTTCCATCTATATATTTCATTATTTTATAATCTCCAGCCTGAGCTGAGAGATCTGCAAGGCAGCCAATTTGTGTTCCGTTGCTTTGCCGTTTGTATAAATCAATTGGCAATGAGGCAAGTACGGTTGGGTTGGAATGGGTTGCATGGTATATGGTGGATTGGGGGAACTGGTACCGAGATTCTCCTTGGGACGCGACATCACGCTGTGCGGTGTCTATCCTATAAATTGCACAAATACGAATCCCCTCCCCACACACCCAAAAAGTCCTCGCCTCTAATGCGTTATGTGCCATGTGTTTGGACTAGGATCTTTTCACTTGCTCAAGGTGCGTGCACTGGGCCTGTGATTGGTCTATAAATTATTGAGTTTATTGCGCCGCAAGGTAAAAACGCCCCCACCTCCCCATGACACTGATGGATTACCAAAAAATAATAAATATACATATATATATATAGAGGGTCTTATCATCGATGGCCAAATATTTGCCCAACGAAATACCCGCTTCCTTTCGGCGGCTATCTCCTGAGGGTTGTACAAGTAACACACATATTATTTGCCTGACGACTTTACTTTCGATTTCAATTTCATTTTCGAATTCCAGATCAACGGCCACTTGAAGAGAGTTCGATGAGGTTCGGTACAACTTAAGGTATTTATTTATTTATTTGCACAACTTGAGGGTCAGCATTGAAAAAAACGCTGGTGGCCAGAGGGTGACAAATAAAAATGGATCTTAAAATATACACCATTAGCTTAAGGAAAATGATGAAATAAAATGAAAGAAAATATTAATTTCTGCAAGAATAAAGCTAAGAGAATTATAAGGAAATAGTATTCAAGAATTGGTAATACAATTCAATAAGAAATGTATGAAATACAATCTAAATTTCCTTAAAAAACTCAAGTATTTAAATAGCTTTTTATACTTAAACTAATTTAAGAAATTTTTTAAATTAATCAATTAAACATTTTCCTTACTATTTTTACCATAACTATATTATTCTTGGCGGATCTCTTTCCCAAAAAAAGAAAAACTATGTCATATTGCAGTAGAAATGCTACTGGAATACTGAATGTTACTGCAGCAACAACCGCAAGAGTACATCGGTCGCATTAATATTAATTAAATAAACGTTAATTCAGCGCATTAATGCGTAATAAATAATGCTCTTTTGAGCTGAAATTAATGCATAAAACGCTACTTATCGCCGCCGCCACGCACTTATCTGTGTCAACACAGAGCGACAGAGGCAGAGGCGGCGGCAAGATGGCAATGGGGGTGCAGGAGGGGCTCTAAGGGGGGGTAGGCAGAGGGTGGAGCGGGTGAGTGGGGGGTAAGGGGTAAGGGGGTGTGGGTAGGGGCTACAAAAGCGGCCATTGCGATTGACAAACGCATTGTCAATAGTCTATAGATCTGTCTACACTTCAGAATATAATTAATAATTAATAATTAATTATGTTATATTAAATTTCTATTTCATATTAAATAAATATTATAATTATATATTATAAAGATTTTAAAATATTTTCTTAAACAGATTTAAATTTAAACTCTCTTTTCTAATGATTAAAAATTCTGATTATTAAAAGACTTTAACCAATCTATATTTTTAAAACAAGCTTTAAATATGAAATAGATCTCAACACCATTAGAAACAATGAAAAACCCTTGACTATTCCATTGATTTTCATATAAAATTTTCACTTTTTCTATTAAATTTCTTTCTGTGTAACTGAGGCTGCCCACAGAGATGGAGTCAGATCGAAGTCAGAGTCCGGGAATCGACATCATCGGTTGGCGCGTTGCAATTACATGTCTGTGACAAGAATTTTAAATGAAAATCGCTGCGTAGTGCGCTGGACAAATGATTCAAACTTTCGCATTACGTGTGGAAAATGTTTAAAACTGAGTCGCCAGGCCTTGTGCCTTGTGCCGATCTCAATGGAGGCGCCATGCCAGGATTGGAGATTTTTTTTCCTTTGCTTATTTTTTGTGCGCTTTGCATGCCCAATGGCCAGGAGTAGTCAGTCGCGACGCATGAAATTAGAAAGGCATTATTGCAAATCTCTCGCTTTATTTATCAGCAATTTGTCAGCAAGTGTGCCGCGGCTCAGATTAAAGTGCCAGCCGCCGCTGGATCTGTCCCCGGATCCATCCAATCCGTTCGATCCCGTCCAGACTTTCTAATGCCAAGATGCCACCTGACACACGCACAAATCGCCGCAGGAATTAGGCAGGTGGAGAAGGTCCAGTCCGTAGCCAATGGGGTCAAGTGCATCCGCAAATGAATTAAGTATTTTATAGTTAGTTTAAATGCGGTCAAGATAGGCTTGGGGACTTAACAAATTTATCTATATATTTTATTTTAATCAGAAGGAGTCGTTTGCGAACCTAAAAACCATACAACATATACACTCTTGATCAGCATTAATAACAGAATCGATAAAGTATCTATCGATAAGTATCTATGACCAGTAAGTTACTCCGATAAGTAAGTAAAAATGAACATTAAGTAGCTCCGAACAGTAAGTATCTATGACTAGTAAGTATGTGAAGGGGACCATGGCAATAAGCAAATAAATTGGAATATAAAGTCTGGGCCTACGTCTGATACCACCAATAGCTTCTCTATATATAATATTATTGTCATGGTTAAGACTTACCGCAGTAAAGGACACGTCATTGTTCACTTCCTTCCAGTATTGTGATCAAGAATGCTGATTCCATCCAAAGTGGGCTTCTTCCTAGTCATCCAGATGTATTGCATGGCCACGTCATATTTTCAGGTTGAGGGATGATCACTTGCACTATCACTTGAGATGTTAACACTAGGTACCCCTAGGACAGACTGAGGCGCGCGGGCCCTCAGCGCCTCTATTTATAGTCCGCGAGCAGAGCAGAGCAGAGCAGAGAAGAGCAGAGAAGAGCAGAGCAGAGCAGAGCAAAACAGAACAGAGCAGAGCAGAGAAAGTGAGTGTGAGTGGGTGGGAGAGTAGGAGTTGCCTCTAGAGATTCACATAGAGCAATTAACATAGAGTGAGAGGGGGAGAGGTAGAGAGGAGAGCGAGCTGATATTTAATTTAACTATGATCAATAAGTAACTAGGAGCAGTAAGTAACTCTAATCAGTAAGTATCAATATACGTTAAGTAAGTATCTATGACCAGTAAGTATATAAATATAAAATTAAAAATATAAAATGTATAGATGAATGAAATGAACATAAATATATTTAATTTATGTATATTGTATTAATTCCTTGTGATCAAATTTCAATCTGCAAGGGTGTGCCAAAGTTAGCTTCCTTTCTTGTTTAAATATTGATTTGTCCAACAAATTCTCATATAAAAATGTAGATAAATATCGATTCAAAAAATACGAATTTTAAAGGCATAGGTTTAATCGAATTCCGATTCGATCTTATAATTCAATTGCAAACTGAAAAAGTACATAAACTTTGGCTTCCCGAAGCTAGTTTACTTTCTTGTTTTGAATTGAATATTGCAGCAAATAACTATCTTCAACATCAATTTGAATATCTCACAAATATTTGTAGAAA